GACTCAATCCTCAAGTCACCCATTCTGGGAAAGTTTGCGATATCTCCCCGTGATGCACATCCAGATTTCACCTTGCCAGCCATGCAACAGAGGTCGCCACCACGTTCCTCGCCTGCAGGTCCACCAGACTATAGGATGACGCTCCCGTCTTTGAAGATCGCCATTGGAGACCTACCTGACCCTGGCCTGAGGGCATTTGCGTGCCTGTCTCCGAGCATGGGTCGGCCGTTTGCCTCTTATGCGTCTCCGGCGTCGTACACAGCATATCCCACCATGTCTCCTCCGGGCCCCCCCTCTCACCACAACTGGCGGACGACGACGGGGAATTCCAATGCGTCAACACTTTCAGGTTATCCTTCCTCGACTTCTGTCTCTGTCTCGGCTCCAGCCTCGTCCATCATCACGCCATCTCCGGCAGCCTCTGGTCCCTCTTCGTTAACCACACTACCTGAGCACGATCAGGAGGAGCAAGAGGAGGGCCGCAGGATGCATCATGTCCCAACCATGGAAACCAACCTCCTACCTAAAGGCGAAGTTCGATTCATAACTCAATATCAGCCCAAAGCACGTTCAAACTCCTCATTAAAACTTCGACTTCAACCGCCCAAACTTCAGCTTCAACCGCCCAAACTTCAGCCCAAACGCGCAGCTCGATCGCAGCCTCAGCCTCAGTCTCCCCCTGAGCCTAAACCTCGACCTAAGCTCGAAGCCCAGCAGCCCCAGCCCAAGCCAGCCCGTGACCCCGCTTCAGCAGCTCGCTCTACGCTAGGTCCTTTCAAGTGCACGCACGATGGATGTAATGTCGCACCATTTCAGACCCAATACTTGTTGAACAGCCATGTGAATGTTCATTCTAACGAGCGAACTCATTTCTGTGCTGTCCAAGGTTGTCCGCGGGGGTATGGTGGCCTGGGCTTTAAGAGGAAGAATGAGATGATTAGGTGAGACGATCTGTACCAAAAGCAAGACTTCTTAGTTGATTACTGATTGTTTCCATTCCCCACAGACATGGCTTAGTTCATACGTCTCCTGGGTATATGTGCCCTTTCTGTCCGAAACAGTCACATCGGTATCCTCGGCCCGACAACCTGCAGCGACATGTACGGAAGTATCACTCCGATGAAGATCGTCTTGACCCTAAACTCCGCGCAGTCCTCAATCAGCGCACCGATGGAAACAACAAGGCGGAGAAAAGGCGTACACGCTTATCCTAATTTGATGTGCCAAGCTATGGATTGATTGGGCTTGTACCAAAAAGCCAAGCATACCCCCCCCCC